GAGGAGGAGGAGGAGGAGGAGGAGGAGGAGGAGGAGGAGGAGGAGGAGGAGGAGGAGGAGTGAGCCCTAGTTGTGCGGCTTTCGTGGGGAGCGCCCGGGGGCAGAAGGCACGCCGGGCCGCTGGCGCCGCCTCGTGCGCAGAGCGAACGGCGCGCCGCGCACGAACGGCGTCACCCTTGCCACGGGTCGCCCTTGCGTGTGGCCCGTCCCTCGCCCCTCCTCCCCCGGCAGGGCAAAGCCTCACACAGACGCAGAGAGCCGCCGGTGCCCAGGAAGAGGTGGGGCGCACGGGAAGCGGAGGGGCGACGGCCGTCCAGGAAGTGCGGAGAAGAAGAGGGGATCCTGGGACTGGTGCCTATTCGTTTGTGTGTGTGTGTGTGTGTCCCTTGGCTTCCTTTTATCCCCGCTCTGCGCCCTCTGCGCGCGCGCGCCAGCGAAGCCGCCGCGCAGCTCGCGAGCGCAGCCGCGGCGGGGGGGGGGGCCTGCGGGCCGCGCCGCTGCTCTCCTCGAGCGGGGGGGGCGGACGGCTTGTCGAGGAGGCGGAGGAGGATTGGAGGTAAGTGGGGCGTGTCCCTTCTACAGGAGGGGTGTTCAAAAATTAGTTAATCGGAGGTTGATAGGCCTCCTGCCCTGACACGTCGATTAGTGAATTGGCCGTTCTCGGTTCGCGAGGAGGATTGGAGGTAAGTCGGGCGTGTCCCTTCTACAGGAGGGGCATTCAAAAATTACTTGATCGGAGGTGGGTAGACCTCCTGCCCTGACACGTCGATTAGTGGATTGGCCGCTCTCGGTTCGCGAGGAGGATTTGAGGTAAGTGGGGCGTGTCCCTTCTACAGGAGGGATGTTCAAAAATAGTTACTCGGAGGTTGATAGACCTCCTACCCTGACACGTCGATTAGTGAATTGGCCGTTCTCGGTTCGCGAGGAGGATTGGAGGTAAGTCGGGCGTGTCCCTTCTACAGGAGGGGTCTTCAAAAATAGTGTGCGTGTTTTCACCTCGTCGCACAGCCTCGCCGAAAGTGGTCGTAGGTGTTTGAAGTGTTTCAGCTCCACCACCATAGCTGGTCGGAGTATATGGCTCAGCAGCCGTTGTTTCGACCCCATCAATATCGATGGAGTGATTTTGGGGCTCCCTGATGGGTCATCACTGCGAGTAGCGGGAGGGGAGGTGCGTAACAGTCATCGGATGCGATTGCATAAGGGGCTTAAGTTGTGGTTTTGCTGTCAGTGTGGAAGCTACGCCAGCCAGTGTTTACGAGGCCTCGGGCGCCCGTGCCTAGAGGCGCACGTGCCTAGAGGCATCGTGCTGAATACCTTTTTCGAATATTGCTGCAGGGCGCTGGCCTAAGGCCCGCGGCAGAGTCGAGGCCAGCCGTCGGGGTCCGTGTGTCACCGAAATCGCGTCGCGACCGTCGTCGCTCACTCACTCACTCCCTCTTCCTCCCTCTTCCTCCTCCTCCTCTTCCTCCTCCTCCTCTTCCTCCTCGTCCTCCTCCAAACAGGCACCGCTGCCGCGATTCCCCAGACCAGGGGCGCGCTCTGATCAGGCTCCCGCGGCGAGTCCAGCCGTGGCGACGAGAGAGGGGCAGGGGTATTGGCATCGGCTCCTCCTCTGCCGCTCACCCCTCCTGGTTATCATCGTCGTCGTCCTCGTCCTCGTCCTCGTCCTTGTTGTCGTCGTCGTCATCGTCGTCGTAGTCGTCGTCGTCCTCCTCGTCCTCCTCGTCCTCGTCGTCCTCGTCGTCCTCGTCGTCGTCGTCGTCGTCGTCGTCGTCGCCGTCGGCGGGGGGCCGAGGCCGTGGCCAGCGCGGCCGTCGCGCTCGTGGGCGCCGCGCAGGGCCAGGGGCCCTTCTCGGCCCGCTCGTGGGCGCCGGCGCAGGCGCCGCTGCGCCGGCTCTCCGCGCCGGGCCTCGGCGACCAGCGCGCCGCCTCTGGCGACGGCACCTCGAGGGGACGAGGTTGAGGAGGAGGAGGAGGAGGAGGAGGAGGAGGACGACGACGATGATGACGACGACGACGACGAGGACACGGCGGCGGCGGCGGCAGCGATGGCGGCGGCGACGGCGACGGCGACGGCGACGGAGACGACGATGACGATATAAGACCATGGCGATGGCGACGGCGACGGAGACGACGACGACGACGACGACGACGACGACGACGACGACGACGACGACGACGACGACGAGAGCGACGACGAGAGCGACGACGAGAGCGACGACGATGAGGGCGACGGCGACGGCGGCGATGACGAGGAGGGCGACGGCGACGGCGGCGACGACGAGGAGGAGCAGGAGAAGGAGGAAGATGGCGACGACGACGACGACGAGGGCGACCTCCCTCCGCCTCGACTCCACCCCTCCTCCACCCCTCCTCTTCCTCCTCCTCCTCCTCCTCCTCCTCCTCCTCCTCGTCTGCCCTCCTAGTTGGGGCAGGGGCAGTGCTTTTCCCCAGGGGCCGGAGGGAATAAGGATGGGAGCTTTGGAAAACGACTCAGGCTACCAGCCGCCAGGGGGGCTGGCGGGATTCCTCCTCCTCTTCCTCGTTTCTTACGCGCGGCTACAGCCGGCCTGGATTGGTAGGTCGACCCTGCCACATCAAGGGGGTACTTTTGTGTCTTGTGCCTCGTGCCCCGTGCCTCGTGCCCCGTGCCTCCTGCATCCCTATGGCAATGTGGCCCCCTGGAAGGGTCTTTTGCCCTCTCGCGTGTCCTGTCCAGGGAAGTCCGACTGTACGACGGCCGTCCCTTGGCTCCACGACCAGGGCGCGCGGCCGATAGCCGCGCAGCGCCCGCGGTGCCGCTCTTCCCGCTCCACCTGCTGGCCCTGCTCGCGCAGCTGGCCCGCGCGTGCAGTTCGCGATGGATGGCACCCAGCTTGTCGCCACTGCCGGATCTTAGCGCACGCTTGCCACTGCTGTCGGGGCTCAAGAACAACGGGGGTCAGTGCAAACGAGGGCCAGCCAGGGCACCGGATCCTGCACAGGATCCTGCGAAGACCCCCTCTAGCTGACCCGGGTTAGCGGGCCGCTCGTGGCCGCGAGGCGGCCGCGCATCTTGGCTGACCCGGGTCTGCGAAGACCATGCGTTGCATTTTTTTTCCTGCACTGCAGTTTTTTGGTTTCCTGCTGACCCGGGTCAGAAGATCCCCGATTGGTCCACACGTGATGGACACTTGTGCAGGAAACGCACCGGTTTATCACATCTGGCCACCTCCTGGTGAGTGCACTCCGACCCACGAGCTCCGTCGTGGCGAGAGCGACGACGGCCTGCTGGGCCTCAGCGTCGGTGGAGAAGCGCCCGTGCCCGAAGCCCATCGACCTTCCGTAGACGGTGCCGTCCTCGGTGGTCACTCTACAGTGTTCCACCGTGCCCACCTGCTTCATCTGGCCCTTCGGGACGCGCTGGTCAGAGTCGTGGAAGGGGTGCCCGACACAGGCCAGGTTCTCGCCCTACACCCTGTTGCCTCGGCCAGAGCCCTGGCCGCCTCAGCCCCGGTGTGCGACGCCACTGTCTGTTGCCACTGCCCGCCCCCCCTCCTCCTCCGCCCCCCCCTCCTCCTCCTCCTCCTCCTCCTCCTCCTCCTCCTCCTCCTCCTCCTCCACCTCACCCCCGCTGGCCCACGCTCGTAGTTTGTGATGTCTGGCATCCCGCTGTCTCTCGCTGCTCCCGGCACTGCTGCCAGCGCTGCCACTGCTGGCTCTTCTCGCACTCGCTGGCCCACGGAGGTAGCTGAGGAAGTCTGGTCTCCACTGTCTCCTCTGCCTGCATCCGCTGCTGGGTCTCGTCGGAGCCTCCCTGCCGGCAGGAGCCTCGCGAGGCCGCAGGTGCCTGCCCTGGCCGCCTTTCCGATGGCCGCCCGCAGAAGTCCAGGATCTCCGCTGCCTTCGCCGTGGTAGATGTTGCGATCGCTTTCCTCGTGGTAGCTTTCGGACCCGTCGTTCTCCTAGTAGTAGCTGTCGGCCTTGTCGGTGTCGCCTCTGTCTGCTGCCACCACCGCCTCTTCTCGCATGCGCTGTTCCTCCTCGTCCCTCATGCTCCTCGCGAGGTCCGCGTATCCCAGTCGTCCGAATACGTACGCATATCGAGCGACTGGCAAGCCTACCAGGGCCCGGCACATAAAGCGAACACCATTGCCTGCTGCACCATTGCCAGCTGCCTGCTGCCGCTGCCTGCTGCCACTGCCGCTGCCACGGCCGGCTCTGCTCGCACCACTGCCCGCTGCACCCCTGCCAGCTGCCACTGCACCTCTGCCCGAACTGCTTCTTCTCACACCACTGCCTGCTGCCACTGCCGGGCTATCTCGCACCACTGCTTGCTGCCACTGCTGGCGTTCGATGGTTGGCGCCTCGCCAGGAAGGCCTCGCGCGCCCGCTCTGCCTTCTCGAGGGGGTCCGATTCCTCTCGCGCACGCTGGGCCACGCATGCAGCTGAGCTGATGACGTATGATATCCAGCACCTGCACCAGCTGCTGCCGCTGCCAGTGCTCCTTGCGCGCGCTGGTGCCCTCCTGCGGCTGCTGGTGTCCGGTCCGATTCCCAGGTGCTGCTGCACCAGCTGCTGCCACCGCGGCCCCTCTTCTCGCACACCTCTGGTCCACACGACAGGGGGCCACATGCGAACATATGCGAACCCTTACTCCCTGCCCCCCCACGATTTCTGCGGGGGAGGGTGGGGTCCACTTCGCGCGGGAGCTCCCTGCACGAGCTGGCCAGCTGCCGCAGGCCGGACGGGACGGAGCCTGGTGCGCCCACGGGCGCAGCAGCGACGCCCGCGTGTGGACCGCGGCCGGCCCGGAGAGTCCGACGGCCGCGCGACCCGTGGGAGCCTGCTGGCCCGAGCCCCGCGAGGGCCGCGCCTTTGCACCCCGGCGGGGCGCAGAGCTGCGCGGCGCTCCGCGGGAGATAGAAGCGGCGGCGGCCGAGCCCCACTCGGACACCTCACGCGGGCGGTGGAGATGTCGCCAGCCCGAACCCAGACAATCGGGCGTCTCGAAAAAGTCGAGACAGAGGTTTCTCATAGCTTTTGGCCTCTAGGGGCCCTCGCCGGGCCTCGGGACCGTCAGAAAACGACTCGGGATGAACAACCGGTTCCAGGGAAGTGGTCGGGAGGTCGGGGGCCCGCGTCTCGAAAAAATCGAGGCGTCGGATGTCTGGGTATGCAGAGGGCAGCACCTATGTGTGCGCATCAGTGCGTTCTGGCTGACGATCTGGGGCGGGCCAAGCAGCGCCCACCTGGCATGGCCCTCCAGGAGAGGCAAGCCGCTTGGGGATCCCCTGGGCGAAGCCGCCGAAGCGACCCTGGCGCCACTGCTCTCGGTAGTTGTCGCCGCCCGCCCATCCCCAGGAGGCGAGCAGCACGAAGCGGGGAGCAGCATAGAGGCCTCGCCTTGCGGCTCGATCTGAGTCCGAATGGGCCAGAGGTTGGTCCCAGTGGAGCTCTTGGGGGGCGTGACATCCAGTGGGAGCGGTCGCGGGGCTGGGGCGCGCGGGGAGCAGCCAGAGAGCTCGCCCTCAGAAATCGTGGGGGGTAGGGGTAGGGTTCGCATGTGGCCCCCTAAGGGTAGGCTCGAGACCTGGCCCGAAGTCACCAGTCGCCTGCAGGCTGCCTGCGGCGCGCTCCTCCTTGGAAGGTTGGGAGCAGACGCCCGCGGCCACAGGGGGGGGGGAAAGGGCCACGGCGAGGGGACCTACGACTCTCGCGGCTGCGACGAATGCGGCCCCGCCTTCCCAGGCGCATTGGCCGCGGCCGAGGCCAACCACGACACCCACGCCCCGTGCCGCAGCCGCAGCCTGGATGTCGACTGGCACGCAGCCTGGCAGCAGCGGCAGAACCGCCAGGGCCGGGCAGCTGGGAAGTGGCACGGGGGCGAGCGGCCCAGCAGACCGACTTGGCCCGCCGGGGGCCAGTCCAGGTTTGCGCGGGCTCGAAGGGCGACAGGGCGACGGTGGCCCGACGGCAGCTGGGCCGCTCGACGCGACGACGACCTGCCCTGACTGAGACGACTGCTTGGTGCTTTCCACTCCAGGGGGTGCCCACGTGTTTTTTTCCACTTGTCCGCACACCAGTCAGGTGCTTCCCGACCTACCCTAACTTGTGACGGCTGACGACTGCGTGGCGCATTCCACCCCAGGAGGTGCCCGCATCGTGTCCACCTGTGTGCGCACCAGTGGGGCGAGTCTTTTCCAGGGCGCCTCTCGCCCCAGGGGGTGCGCTTCGCCGGGCCCCCCCCCCGCCCTTCGCCCCCGCTTCGGGAGGCGCCCCGCCTGCCTGCGCACCAGCTGGGTGTTTTCTCTTGGCTCGCCTCCAACCCGGGTGGTGCGCCCGCCGCCTGGCCCCAGTCGCGCCTTCCCCCCCGGGCGGCGCGCCTGGGAGCCGCTGGCTTGCCTCGGTTTTCTACCTGCCTGCGCGCCAGTGAGGTGCTCTCCATCGGGCACGTCTGGTGTCCAGCTCCTGTGCCACAACTTTTGTTGCCAGCGCATGCTCTTCCCGCATAAGCTGGTCTGCGCATATAGCTGATGACGTCTGGTGTCTATCTCTTGCGCCTGCGCCTTCTCCCCCTCCTCCTACGCCTGTAGCTGATGACGTACGGTGCTGTATAGCATCTTCTCGTGGTTCGACACTTTGGGGGGTCGTATGACGAGTTGCGGAAGCCCTGTCGATGCAAGTGCGCCGCGGCAGCATGTGGACCGGCTCTTTTCGCGCCGCTTCGCTGTCTGCTGCCGTATTTGCGTTTTCGCGTGCACCTTGTTGCTTGTTTGCAGCCGATGGCTGCACTGTTGCGCTTCCTCGAGTCGCCTTCTGATGCAGCACAATGTCTCGAGTCCCCAGTTTGATGCAGCCATTGTTCTGGAACCGCCCTCTGATGTGGCCTACTCGCG